TCAACCCACACCAAACTGTGCGAGAGCAGAACCCTTTGAAGTCTGCCATGTCCAATCCATTATTAATCACTGTAAATCTGGTATAATCTCTACAAGCATATTCCACTCCCTACAAACAGGCTGGTGCCAACTTGCTCCAATAAATCCTGCATCAGGGCAGCTATTGTGTCTGCTCTTCAGGCAGCATTTCCCTGCAGGAATATTTAAACAATAACAGTCTCTATTTGGTGCAGTCACTTTTGTTTTAGAAGACTACGGTCTAACATGTAACAGATTTAGAGCTTATGGAAAGGCTGGGATTTATGGTATGCTTTCTCTCCAATGCATTTTGTATCTAATAATCCCTGTGAGGCATTAAATGTCTCCATGTGGGTTCCTCACTTCATGCTGAAGCAACAAAACTATGTTCTTCCTACTCAAAACTTTGGGCTGAATTCTGAAAGTTGTACTGAAAAGCAGCCTTGCTAAACAAGCAATAACATTGCTTCCTTGTGAACTAGGAATGACTGGCTGATGTCTCTAGAGAGCTGGGATGACCCATGGAGAGAGAGAAGAACACAGGTGCACCAGGAGCACTGGGGATGCTCCCAGGCAACGCAAGACTTGGCATTCAGATGGACTGATTATCCCTCAGCAAGAGATGTCAACCAGCTAAAACACCCCAAAGTGAGAACAAGCCAAAAATTCAACCCCAAAATAGTCGCTGGGCAAAAAGAGTCAAACACAAGGGTAACAAAATGGAGCCCCAGAGTGTTCAGGGGGAAATGGAAGCAAAGGAAATTTATACCAGTATCTGCTCTATATAAACCGCAGCTGGAGATTTACCACCGGGAGCCCATCCCAGCCTCCTCCCCCATGTGAGCACCTACCAGCGTTTGCTTGGGGTGAAGTTGGTGTCCCAGAGGATCCGGGAAGCTCCAAGGTTTGATAGAGGTCCCGGTGCTCCCCAGACAAGCAAAACTCCTCCCGCAGTTTGCGGCTCAGCGCTCCCGTGGCACCAGCAGCCCTTGTCTCCATGCTGGCAAACACTGGCACCGACCAGCTCCAGGCAGCACAGCTTCCAGTGAGCGGGGAGAGAGCCTGGGATGCTCCGAGGGATTCCTGGAAATGCAGCCTGGGGCACAGCAGCCAGCCCAGGGATGCTTGGCCCTGCTGTAACCCCCAGGTGGGTCTGCAGGGAAGGTTTCACCATCGAGACACTGGTGACCCTGCAGTGCTGGTCCCGGGGATGCCCTTGAGCCCGACCAGCCGTGAGGAGCAGCTGGGACACTGTCAGTCCCAGCAACAGCTCGTTTGGTCTCATTGACAGATGAGTTGCAGCCCCAAAAGCCATTTAGTCTGGACACAAACATCGTGGACCTGTGGCTGGGGCACTCCAGGAGCTGAGCAGAGGGTGGCTGCAGCAAATGCTGCTTCCAGGCACTTGGTTCTCACTTGACTTCCTCCACTGGCAGCTCACGATGGGCTAAACACTCTCCAAGAGGAGCAGCAAATTCCTGCCTGTGCCAAGGGCTCCAGCCAGAAAATGTTTTTTCCTCCCCTGATGCTGCTCATTAATTTTGTTTGTTTTCTTTTTTTTTTTTTTTTAAAAAGCATTTTTGCTGGTTCCCCAATTAGGACAGGATTAAAAAAACAGAAAACAAGGAAAACTCGAGGCACAGAGAATTCAGCTGGATCCCTTGCAGGGGCAGCAGGGATTGCTGAGACACCAAACTCCTTCTCAGTGACGGTGTGGGCAGCCAGGCCACCACGTCTTCACCTCCCTCCTCCTTGTGCCAGCGTAGCTCATGCCTTGCCTACACTGATAAATCAGCAATAAAAGCGTGCAGGGACCTCAAGTTGGATCAATTTATTTCAATATTTCTGACACAGCTGCTGCAGGAGCCACAGAACTAAAACCACAATTTCCTACCAGAGAGGCAGTGAGATGTCGGGCATAAATTACCCTGAAATGCCACAGATAATGAGGCTGCACCCAGGACGGTTTCTCTCCCCTTTTCTTACACTGGAAACACTCCAAGATGACGATGTGATACGGGAACATCACAGCAGAGCCTTTCCAGCAGGATCACAGGTGGTTTCTCCATTGATGTTCTGAGGATGGAGCCAAGGTACCCAACTTCAGAACTGCATTTTCCTCCCCAGTCCTCCATGTCTGCTGCTCTGAGGCCAAAGCACACACCTAACAACTGAAAATCAGAATATTAATGTTCACCTTTCAGGAAGTAGTTGGATGTGCCACTTCCAATGAGGAAGGGTATTAATTTCAGAGCTTGTAAGAGCCATCTGAGGCAGTTTCCATCACGATCATGGAGCTGTCTGCTGGCAGCCAAGAGCAAAGAGAGTAGATTTTTTTTTTTTCATTTACAAAAAGAAAAATATACCTCACATGCCTGCTCTTGCCAAGCAGATTTCCAGCTGGAGTTCATCACTTCTCCCACTCCCTCATAGCTGGAGTCCCTCTCAAAGCCTGTTTGGAGCAATGATTTTGGTAAATAACCTTCTGGGTGTATTCCCTTCAGTTCAGCACATGCAGGACCACTGAGACCCCATTTCTAATGGTTCAAATCAGGATTCCCTGCACTGCAGTGATGACTGATTGTGTCTCCTGGTGCTCCCCTGCTCCCAGCCCCACTACCTGGTTGTGAGCATCTTGTTAGTTTGCTCCCTCAGCCAAACCTGAGGGTCCAGGGGCTGGGTGAGGCTGACAAAGGGGCTGTAAATCCCATCAGGTGGGACATGGACCTCCCGACCCAGCTCTGCCAAGTGGGACACAACCCTCTGGGAGTGTGTGGGGGGGCTCTTTGCCTGGGGTGCTGCTCTGCAAGGGCACACACCAGCTCTGTCTTGGCACTTGACAAAATTTATGTGCAGGAGGAGATGAGGGGAAGGCTGGAGCAGGGGCTGCAGTAACGAGCTTTTCCAAAAATATCTCTCCTTGGTCAGAGATGTTCTATTTTTAGAGCCCTGGAGCATCACACTGACAAAGCAGCAGGGTCAACGTGTACCTTTAAACTTCCGAAGCGCCTCTGCCCTTGCACAAGCACCTCGGTGTTCCAGCAGCTGCCAAACGTACCAACAGACACCTCTGGTGAGTGTGGCCACGAGACCTGGCTGCCACCTCCCCCAGAGCACAGAGAGGGCAGCTCAGACATGACCGGGCACCGTCCATCCCAGAGATCCCCACCACCTTTACCCTGAACACTTCACAGAGGTCTGTGAAAAAAATCTGTAATTTAAAACCCCCTGATTACACTTCCAGGTGGAGAAATTGTTATTCTCTGATTTTTTTATCAGAGATGATATCTCAGGCCCAGAAGTGACTCCCTGGGTGTCTGGATCCTTTTCCCTGCTCCAACAGATGCAGCAGAATAGGGCAGGTCCATGAAATCATTGTGGTTTTGGGAGCTACTCAACAGCGATGGAAACAGGGAAGATGCCAGTCAGAGCTGTAGGACTCCTGTGTCTGCACAGTGAGCTGAGCACACAGGGTGCAAAATTAAAAATCCAACAGTTCTATTGTTAGGAATAAAAACCATCATTTGCATGTTAAAACACCATGGCTTACAGCAGCAATTTCCCTCTTTTTAACTTTCCTGGTTTACCCAGTTCCCAGGATGAATAATGCAATGGAACTCCTCAGCAGCCACATGAATGCAAAAATGTGATAGGACTCCTTTTCCCCCCTAAACCTACACATCTTCTGCAGGAAGCTTTTCCACAGAGACACTGAAATCCCTGCTGCCAACTCTTCTGCCAGTGGCTCTGAAAGAGCTTTTCAGCAGAGAAGGTTGGGGAGGAGTCACCAGCCCCAGTGATAAATCCTGTTTGCCCAAATCCCAACACAACCTCTACAGAGTCCCACTAATGAGACCTCACATCGCTTCCTTTAGAAAGGAGCAAAGTGACCCATGGGGGGAAAACATTATCGTCAAAACATGTCTGACATGTGGAAGCAGATTACATCAAATTTGAATAATCTAGGTGACATTTCAATTTAAATCGCTCCCATGTCTGAAGAGGAAAGAGAATTAAGTGCAAACTCATTGATCAGTGCCTGGCAAGGGGCATCATCAGACCTGGCAGAGACACGAGTGCCCGCTGCCTGACCCCCACCCCACTGCCACTTTGCTCACCGGTTCTGCCTGTTCCTGACCCACTCCTGCTTTTTCCCAAACTGCAGGAGCAGTCCAGCCCAGGTGGTCTGTGACATCCTCGAGGGGCAAGTGCAAGGGGAAAGGCTGGTGCTCCCTACAGCAGAGCAGGGATGGGGTGTGCCTGGAGTCCATCCCATCACTGCTCACTCAGGGAGATGTCCCTGACTTTCTTCTCTACTGCCAATTCATTGCAGACTCAAAGGGAAACAGCTTTCCCTGGGCTTGGAGATTTCACTCTGTTGGGGAAAAAGAAGGCTTTTCCATGCTGGAACAACACAGAGAGAAAGAAAGAGCACACAAGCACCAAAAGGGAGCTTGCCTTCTGCCGAGGGCATTTATAGCCCCACCCTCTGCCATCCGAGCAGCTTCCTCTGCAGCTGAGTTCAGTTGCTGCACCCACCCCCCCGGGTCCTGCTGATCCTCTCCACAGCTGGCAATAATCACCCTCCCACTGCTGCACAATGGAGGCTGGAGCTGGGCAGGGGTTTTAATATGTGTAAAGGGACCCACATGTACAATTCCATGGAATGTTTTGGATGCCATGCCCACTAACCCACGAGTAAGTGACCTGTGTGTAGGTGATGTACACAACCTGCTCACCAGCAGTAATGAACCTCCTCTTGTTGGCATTTCCCAGCATTTGGTGCTTTTTACTTTTGTTATGCACAAATCTTCCACCAAGATCAATGAAAACACCTCACTGGGTTCAACTCACACCTATTTACAAGTGTGTATCTTGATCGTGGCACAGGTCAGAATGATGTGAAAAACATCTCTGAAAGCAGCACCACACAGACACTGAGAGGCCTGTTATCATTGCTGTCATCCCACAGTGACACCTCTAGGACACAGCAGGACCTGACCCGGGCCCTCCCGCACCTGACAGCGTGAAACATTTCACTCAGGCAGCACATGCAGCGCTTGGGATGTTTGGGAATTCCAGCAAAAGTGAGAAACTCCATTTGCAGGAGGCTCGGGTCCGGAGGTGCTGGCTGTGCCACACACCAGCACCGCTCCAGGAACAGGCGTTTTCTATCAATGCAAATTTTTCACTTGCATTAGAAAATAAAACAATTTCCATTTATGCATGTTTAATGAGAATTTCAAAAGCGTATAATGCAGCTAATGCTCCCAGGCTGTGTGCAGGCATCTGGAGCTGGAGGCGAGGAGGTCTGCTGTGCCGCTGGATCCTGGCCCTCAGCCGGCCTCTCCCATCCCCTCCTGGAGCTTGGCCTCCCAACCTCATCGCTTAACACGTGAAAAGCATCTGGGGCCCTGGGCTCCCCTGCCACGGCGGCAAACGGGTGGGTCGGCTGAGCTGCGAGACCGAAACTCACTCATTAACAAGCTGTTAAATAATTAATAAGTTTATATATAATGACTTCTGTGTACATAATCTCGCATTTTTCAGAAAACTATCATCGCTTTTCAGTTAGTTCCACTCAAAGAAACAAGGGCTCCTGCTTTCACTTGAACAGATGAATATTTATGTCAAGCTTGTTCTGTCTGGGAATGGGAAAAACTGGATTATTCGGCTTCCCAGCATGCGAAAGGTGGGTGGTGGGCACAGCACATGCTCGGCTGTCAGTGGTGCCCATCAGTTGCTCCAGACCTCCTGCCCCAGCTAATGGGTCTCCAAAATGCCTGAAAGTTTGGCCAGAGAAGCTGTTGATGTCCTGTCCCTGGAAGTGTTCCAGGCCAGGTTGGATGGGGCTTGGAGCGACCTTGTCTGGTGGGTTGTGCCATCACCATAAATATGGCCTGTATGGGACCGGGAGGGCTCGTCCCCTCTGCCTTGGAGGAGTGTCCTTCAGCGAAGCTCAGCTGCTCAGCCCCAACATCATTTATCCACGTGCTGCCACAGTGAGCCACCGAAGGGGGTGTCAGAGTGCTTTGGGTACAGAGTCAGCAAACAGGAGGGTCTCAGCAAAGCTTTGTTCCCTCAGGAGTGGTGGAGGTGGCTGGCTCCTTCATGGGGTGCGGATCCATGCCCTTGGAATGACGTGACTTGGCACCGCGACAGCTCCATGTCAAAGCAGCCCGAGCTGAACAAGAACCTTTTGATCTCAAAATATTCCTCCTTTGTTTTTACACCACGAATTGGTGGGTTGCCGCTCCTCAGCTTCCACACCGTGACAAGTCCTTCAGCAGCCTCGGCTTGCTGTGGAAACAAAATATTTTGACTTTGCTGTTTATTTCCAGTTTTTTTAAAGTGTGTTCTGAGTGAATAACAAACATGTTTTGTGAGGCAGCTGGTGCTTCTTCCTGTAACGCACAAGGTAAGGGAGAAACAAACATATTTGCTTTTGCTCCATCTATTTATCCAACAATTGTAGCTGCCGTTTTAACAGCACAAAAATGTAATTACTGCACGCGTTCTCGCCAGCCCTAATTAGTGGCATGCTTAAGCATACGCTTAGAGACACCACTGCTCCATGGCAGCGTTCCCATGGGCTTGGCAAGGGCTGATGGGGACGTGCCCTCCTGGGTCACCTTGTGCTGATCCAATGCTGACATTTGCGCACCTCGAAAACCTGGAATTTATTTTTATCCCAAGAAGTCCCAGACACCAAGAGTTGTGTCTTCCCCAGAGATCATCACACGCGGGAGAATCTGGAGGGATCCAGTGCAACAGGCAGTAACAGACCTTCACAGAGGATCACTTGTCCATAATCAAGGCTTTGCTAATCCAGGAGATTTTTTGTCTTTTCTCCTTTTTCTCCCTTTGTATTGGCAGTAGCAGTAGCTCAGTGAAAGCATCATTAATGTAATTAAATGAGCAATTTGCTCATTAACAGATTGCAACCTTTTCAACAAGCTTTGCTGGGTATTCCCCCTTTGTACACCAGCTCCTCATGCTCAGGAATAAAGGGCTTGTCTAAGGAGGGGGTTGAGCCACGTGATCCAAACCTCTGCTCTGCTCCATCGGCAGGACCCAGCTCGAGCTCAGTCCCCAAGGCTGAGCCTGCTGGTCAGTCCTGGGGCTGCCACATCCCAGCCCCACATCCCCGGCCAGGGCTCCAGGAATGCTGGTGCTGAGCAGGGAGCTGAAGCAATGGGTAAGCTGCTCTCTCGCCTTACCCCTCAGGAAAAAGAGCCATGAGGCAGGATGGGAACAGCTCTGACATCACTGGATAGAGAATTAAAAACCCCTGGGAGAGTTTGCCACAATTTTTCACTGTGCGTTCAGAAAAAGCAGCTGCTGCTTGTGCCCAGGAGACCCAGCTCTGCTCCAGAATCCATCCTGCGTTGTCCTTTCCCGCTCTGAATGCAGACTAGTCTTTTTTTATTCCCTTTCAATTTTCCCAGTGTGCCACAAAGTAGGTGATACAGAGGCCATGAGTGGCTCCTCTGCCCCGTGTGGGGCAGGTTGGTGCTTATGCTGGGGCCTGTGTGTGGCTCTCAACAGCTTGTCCCGGTGGGAATCTGCCACCGTTCTCACCAGAGAAAAGCACTTGGTGTTTCCCTGGGGCGTCTTCCCTTCTGCAGTGCTCAGTTGCCTGGATTTCTTACACTGCAGTATTAAAATACATGGATAATTATTACTGTTCACCAGTATAATAGTTTCAAGGATCAGCATCCCTACTTTTCACAAGGAACACATCCCCAGGCAGTTGCCTTTGCATATAAGCGCACAAAAAAAGTTCAAGTGAGAAAAAACCCCTATCAGCAAAGCACATTTATAGAGATGAATTATTATTTGCAAAATTCTGAGCATCCAAACTCATCACAGTAGATTTGAATTACAGAATTATAAGCAACAAGTTCATTTTGACCCCCCAGGCTAAAAAGTTATAATTAGCTCAGGCACCATAAAACTGGCTTTTAATTAAATCAGCCTCGGAATGGAGGGAGTTCTGCGAGGTCCCTCCCTCACTTACATAAGGCAGCTGGCCGGGATGCTGCGGCGCTCCGAGCCCAGGGAACCTTCCGCAGGATTCTCCAGAAAGGAAAGAGAGAAATGGGAAATGGGGGAATTAGGGAGCCCACAGCCAGCCCTGGATCTCACACAGTTGTGGCCTGAGGAGCAGTCACCGCCACATGACCTGGAAGGATGGTGGGTGTGGGTGAGTCGAGCTGCGTTTTGGGTCTGTGGTGTCCTGGGTTATGGTGGCAGCAGTTCAGGGGCAGCCCCAACAGCTGTGGCGTGAGGGGCGGTGCAGCCGCGGGGCATCGGTGCCACGCTGGTGGGACCCAGTCCCAAACCACGCCGGGAAGGGCTGGCTCGGAGGACACGGTTTGTACTTTGAAGCCTCCAGATCAGCCAGGCAATGTGTCCCATTACCTGTTGCTGGCATTATACTGGGCTGAGTGTATTCCCCAAAAGCATATGCTGCGGTGCCAAGCGTGGCGGTGCCAGTCTCACAGTTGTCTCTTTCTTCGCACTTTCAAAAGGCTGTAGGAAATGATGACATATGGCACCCCAGCATATGGCATTTTAATCAACACAGGTAAGGCCAGGGAAAACAGAGCCAAGCAGCATTCCCTGGGGAGAGCACCCGCCCTGGTCCCACCGGGATGCTCCGGCTGCCTCCCATCCCTGCGGGCGCTGGGACCGGCGGGCGTGTGCGCTGCCAGTGCCGCCCCAGCGACACCGCGGGACACTGGTGCTGGGTGATCAAATGAGGTAATTAACAGGCGCCTCCTCATCAACACCAAAGCTGAACTTCTAGCTCTGCAAATATATAATTAAAGCACACTCTCATAATTATAAAATTCTCTTCCACTCGAGCAAAGGCGGAGGGCTGGCAGGTGCTGGAGTCAGTCCAATTGTTTCCACTCGCTCTCTGTTCCTCCGACGCACGGCACAGCCCGAGCATGGCAGTGAGGGAGGGGGGGTGCTGGGGCTGAGGGCAGAGCTGGGGGCTCATCACCGAGACCCTCACGGCAGGGGCTGTGCCAGTGCCCAGGGCAGGCACCGAAGGCAGTGCTGCGGCCGGTGGAGCCTCGGGAAGGATGAAACCCTCTGGTGCTGTCTCTGACAATGACTAAAGTTGTGAGCAGTTTCAGGAGTCACTGCTGGGAGTGGAGCCTACACTGGATCAGGAAGGACAGGGAAGGCTGTCAGCACAAATACCTTGCATAGACGGGAAAGCAAATGTTGCTATTTTCCCTTAATATCCAAAATTATCTGCAAATGCCACTGCTGTCATATTCTATAAATATTGACTGTTCCCAAAGCCTCCTGCTCAACAGCCCTCCCCAAGCCCACTCCTCCCTCCAGACTGCACACCAAATCATACTGTTCCTTCCCATGGGCGACAAACAGCAGAAACAAAACCATTGGAGGAATGCAAACACCCAACTAATTATGCCAGACCTGGAGACAGAAAGCTGGACAAGCTCCACACACGGGGAGGACACGAAGTGCCAGAGACCACGTGAATACATTTACCTCTGTGAAAGCAATCAGGGGGTGATGGTCACCCTGCAATCCCTGCTTGGATCAAAGGAAAAAGAGCTTTTAATTCCAGTGCTGAGCCAGTGAAACTCATGGAGGCTGGATGGCAGTGGGAGTGCATCGGCACCGGAGCAAAGCCTGGAGCACCCACAGCAGCCAGCCGAGCGTGGGTGGGAAGCATTGCCTCCAGAGCCAACCTACCACTGTCCCCAAAATAGCGTGAGGATCGAAGGGGAAGGGCACAGGGAGGTCCATGGATGCCCCCACATGAGCTGGGCTTTCCCCGGCGTGGCTTTGGGGGACAACTGGAGCAAGGATTCAACCCGTGTCTGCAGGCAGAACCCACATCCATACCCATGTGGGCTGCTCGAACCACAGCACCGGAAAAGCCAGTGGAGAAAATCTCAACCATGCCAACCTCTTTCTATGCCCTTGTCCCTTCTCCAGGGGAACAATCGCTGCTGAGGATCTTTGCCAAAATTAGTTCCTCTAAGATCTGAGGGATCTTTCTGCTTCTGCACCGAGCAGTGGGAGTGAGCCCACAAATCCAGTTAGTCACAGTCACTGGATTACATCGGACCTTGTCCTTCTGCCTTTAATAACATGATTGTTTGCTGCATAAGGAGCTTTATGTAACTGGGAATCAGGGGTGATCTGCAGGACTGCACAGACTGGAGCTGCCAACCATCCGCTTTCTCTGGGCTTGTGTGAACCTCCTGCTCCCAGACCACACCTGAAAAACAAATAACCTCCTTGCTTTGGCAGTTAAAGGTCTAACCCCCTGTGGGGGTACTCTTGGTGTGGGATTTCAGTCTGATATTCCAGTTTAATGCATGGGTCTGTATCAGAGGTGATGCAGGGATGAAGTTATCCCTGAGAAATGTTTCCCATTCTGCACCTCTCCTCTGAGGACAGCCCTCAGGTGCAAGGGGAGATTTTTAGGCACTCCCCTGGCTCCAGGCAGGAGACCACTATGTCCCAAAGCCATTGAGGCTGTTCAGGGATGACAAAGCTGTTACCAGCTCCCTCATCTATGAAAGACAAGCACTTGGAGGCGAAGGCGCTGGGTCTGAAGCTGTGCTGCCCACAGCACTCACAGAGAGGGCTTGCCCAGCACCATTAAATCTCTGCTTTATCACAGCAGAGCAACCTCCGCACTCCCCTCACACTCTCTGCATCCCTTTTTTCTCTGGATTTACACATCTTTTTAAGTGACTCTGCCCGTCAGCTCCTGCACAGCCGAGGCTGTGCACCAGTGCAGGGGATGGCACATGGGCAGCATCATTAACATCTCTAGCAGTGAGTGGTGGCATTTTTGGTGAAGTGCTGATCTTTAAGGACATGTTTTGAGATTTAGCACAGCAATACAAGTCTGAAAATTCCCTTACAATTTTCCAGCAATGGCCCCATGCTGGGAGCTCAGCCGGGTTCCTGAGGAACCTTTCCTTCCCACCAGCAGCCGGACAGCTCCCGGCACTGCACCACTCACCTCACCAGGGCTGGGCGAGCAAAAGGCACCGGCACACAAGAGCCTTTTCATTTGTGCATGGGCAGCCTCAATCCTCACACAGAGTTAATCCTGTTTACCTTCTTTTAGTTTACCTATCAAGTTCTACAAAATTAATGGATAGCCTTATTGCTCTGCCACTGCCCAGCCTAACTCCCCGGGCCAGCACAGCCGGCCGACAGCAGGGTGGCATTATTCACACAATTAGGGAAAGGAAGGCAGGTGAAGCTGCCAGAGCAGCTCCTGACTGAAG